GGAAATGTTTCTTTCTCTGACCCTCTGTAGTCCAACCTTAACAGTACAGAAACCATGAGCTGAAGATAACTGCTTGCCTGCAGTACTATTTATGAAACATTCTCTTTTTTTCTTTCCCTAGGTATCTAGCCCAAAGGATTGAGCAATGTGCTCTGCTGCTACTCCACTAGGTCTGAGAGAAAAGGTGGAGGCTGCAAGAGCATCTTAACCCTTGCAATGGCCTAGCCAGCAGCATCCGTTTAGTTATCTAGTTCCCTGAGCTCATTCTCAGTTTCATTTTACAAACATACCTAGATCTATATTTATCTGTTTCAATGGCCTCCAGTGTTTCTCAGGAGCACTGTACCACTAGCATGGCATGGTAGTTCACGCCGGTAATCCCAGCACTTTGGGAGGCCGAGATGGGCAGATCACCTGAGGTCAGGAGTTCGAGACCAGCCTGTCCAACATGGAGAGACCCTATCTCTAAAATTAATAATAATAATAATAATAATAATAAATTAGCCAGGTGTTGTGGCAGGTGCCTGTAATCCCAGTTACTCAGGAGGCTGAGGCAGGAAGATCACTTCTACCCGGGAAGCAGAGGTTGCAGTGAGCCAAGACCATGCCATTGCACTCCAGCCTAGGCAACAAGAGCGAAACTCTATCTCAGAAAAAAAAAAAAAAAAAGAGCACTGTGCTACCAATCCTGGCACATGAGTCTCTTCTATCTAACGTGTCCTTACACAAAGCATTATAAAAACCCCATTTCCAACCTTGCAATATACCCTTACTACAGCAATCATGGCATTAGCATAACAAGTACAAAATTCCAAGGTAGTACTTGGGTTACAGATCTAAAATCCTTCTGGTTCCATCCGATCTGTGTGGACATGCGGTGCTGCCCTTCTGAAACTAAGGTATGGGTCAGTGGATCTCTTGCACGAAGGAAGGTCTGCTGGGTGAAGTTTGTCCTCAGGGACTCAAAGTCAGAGTTGGAACATTTCTTAAAGAACCAAGATACGTCCATCTCCTTTTTTCCTTCTTCTCTGTTTCCTTGGCCACCAAGGAAACATGTCTTGAAAGATATTCTTCCACAGGTGTTTCATTAGACATGTGCAAATATCAGGACTTATCTCATCGGCGCTATAAGCACTTTTTGGTCTTTCTGCTGGGGGATGGAGTTTGGGACATTTTACTTCTATCAGCCCTGCCATTTGTAGAAGTGCATATTAGTTGCAACTCTGCTGAGGCAGAATTGGTGGTGGTGGTAGAGGTCAGTGGGGTTGAGATGTATTCAGATGTTAATTTACACCTGAAAAGACAGAATGTAGTTACCCACTTGGGGGTGACTTGAGTTTCTGTTGAATACCAGCTGTGAGTGCTTCCTTGTGAAAGATGAAAGTTGAAATTGAGGGAACAAGTAGTCTAAAAGTTATGGGAACAGGAAGAAGAGAAGGAGCAGGGACAACCTTGATGAGCAAAACAAAATATATTTAGCCATCAGCCGTAAATCTATTTTCAACTTTTCCTTCTCAGTGAAGGTTTACGATATAACAGAAGATGGTAATTTCCACCTTACTAAATATTTGGAGATTGTGGAATCCGAAAGTGTTGGTGTGAAATAAACATGAAGAATTCGCCTCACTTTTCTGCCATTTGGATGGGTTTTCTTGCTTCACATAGTCTGTTTAACAACGGCTATCCACCTTGCTTAATGGAATCCCTAAGTACCCCAGGAGTAACTAAGAAAGAAAAACCTTCTACATTCCGACACTCCCTTTAACCTCAAATGACAGTAAAGCGCTCATTCAGACCCCAAGGCCACACTGAAGCATTAATTAGGCTGATGAAATCCATCGAAATGTATGGATTCAGCATAATCAAGTTTCTACCACAGACTATGGTTAAGGAATACGTGAGCAGCTGGGAGAAAAGAAAGTACTGTTAGAGTTAAGTCATGCATGTAATTGAGTATATTTAACATAACCATTTTAATGATCAGTGATTAAAAGTGCATCTTACTTAAATGGTAGATCCTCTGCAATTTGTTCATATCAACTCGATAATGTTCTCAAGAGGAAAAAGTAGGGACACAAATTTCTAAACAAGATCTTGTTTGAGTTTGGGGGAAAAAAGCAGGAAAGTGAACTAGAAAGAAAATTGTGGCTTTTGCATGCAGACAGCTACATGAGCGTGATATCAATTAATCACTGTTTTAGGCATCTTCTGTGCTCAGTTCATACAAAGTATTAGGAATATATAATAAGTGATTTTGTTATTCCTCAAAAAGAATGTATTTTTCCCTAAAGATGCTTTCTCTGTTTGACAATATTTTTTTAAGGGGGCTGGGGGGCGCTGCTCAAATCCTGTTGATTTTAAGAGCTTCTCTTAAGATCCTGGTAAGTTCACATTTCCAATTCTTCTTCCAACCTGTTGGGTTGGCTTATCTTAGTGGAACTTGCCTCTGTGAAGATAACAGTGGGAAGAAGAGCAGGCATCACAAGGAGAAAGATGCACCCACATATGATAGACCAAGAGCGCAAACAGTTCAGAAACCCACCAAGGGGAAATTAGCTGTTCAAATCAGCGAGGGGCCTGAACCAAAAGCCCACGCGTCCAGAGGCAGAGTCTGCTCTCCTCTATTCACTCGGACCTGGCCAGATAAATGGAGTCATTGTGGAGCCAAGCACAAGCCAGCCCCACTCCTTTTGTTGTATTTTCTCAGCTTTTGTGCTCAAAACACGCAAATAACCGATTACTTTGCCCAGGAAAGAATCGAAGGAGAGAGGAAGATCTCTATCTACAACTACAAGTGTGTAAATCACACAATATCCACACATCCATGCAGGCGCTACTGAAAGTGAGGGCTTAGGAGGGACACCCAGCTCCCAAAAGTTGCTTCATAGGGTTCTTTTTATCTCCCTTCACCCCCGCCCCCACTCCTATAGAGAGACACATCTATTCTCCCGCTCAAAGTAGGGTTGAAGAGCGGCAGGCACATCTTGAACGTCTGGGAGTTGCACTGAAACTTTTACAAACCTGAGACAGAAAGGAAGCCACAAGCACGTAAAAGTATGTTGGCACATACTATTATTCTGCTTGCTGCAAACAAAACAAAAATGTCTCAAGGGAAAATTCATTTGATGCCTTTCTTTTCACCCAGAAGCATGTCTTCTTTGGCTTGGAGGGACAGCTCTTGGGAAATCAGGTCTCTCAAGGAGCACTCCCGCCCCCAATGCATAGTCTATAAATATAGTGGAAGAGCCATGCCAGGGGTAGTAAGTGCAGGAGAATCTGGAGTCTTGAAAGCATCTTTTTCTTCTGGCTATGGTGGCACTTAAATGATAATGCGGGCAATGGAGCTGGGAGATTTATATCTTTTGGAAAGTAGGGCGAGCCAGATGGTAATAGCGTCATTAACACACAAACTTGGGATGTGCAAGTGAAGCTTGAAATTGAGAAAGAGATCGGGAGAACAAAGGGGGCTGCTGTTGAAAGGCTACCCCTCTTCTGCCGGCCAAAGCTAAGAGCCCCTTGGTACCGGGGTCTGCTGCTGCCCAGAACTGGATAATAAACGACAGCTTTCCCCTCCCCTGTTGTGACTTAGAAAGCACCAAGAAAACTTTTGCAATAGGCAAGTTCGGCACTTATTTATGTGTAACCCTTTGTAGTCTGAAGTGGCAGGAATGGGCCTTTAAGCCCACTGCACTTCCAACCCCACCCCTTACCCCAGTCCGATAAGCCCTGGCAATTGTTGACATTTATTTTATGAAATCAAAGTGCCGCTTGTTGTATGTTTCAGACAAAAGTTCATTTCCCTCCCCTTATGTAAACACTCTAAGTAAATATTAAAGGTTGAACAGCACTACATTTTCGTTTTGGTGACGGGGGTTGGTGTGAAGGTGTTGAGGAGAGTTAAACTCTGGTTTTACTCTGCAAAGCTTTAACCTTATTCAGAGAGAAGAGAGAAGGCATTAAGACAAGATTAACAATGGCGTTGGTAATAATAATGCATGTTTATAATAAATACCCATGCAAACCTCTATAAACAAGCAAGGAGGTCTGAAATTAAAGAAAACGAAATTAATAACGTTCTCCTTTTTAGTAACACAATGTATGTAGGTAGGTACATGCAAACACACACATACATATACACACACATATGTATATGGTTTCTAGGAAGACAGCAAGGGTAACTAACGGTCATTAAGTGTCTCCTGGCTTGAGTGGTGCCTGTTAGCGGCTAAAAGTTGACAATGTCTAAACTAAAGTCGAACGTTTTTCTTTTTATTCTTAAAAAATAAAAATACTGGAGCTCTTTTTAAAAGCCCGGAGGACTTACCCTCAGGGATTATTCAGAGAAAAACTGAGAGTGGCCGTTCGTCACAGGCAATTGTAAAGGGTTTCAAAGGGCCGATCAAACGCTGGCCAGAGTAATCGACATTCAAGCCGGGATGGCGGTGTTCCGGCACACACCTGCGGGGTGTTTGCTGTCGGGGCCCTCTCCGAGCCACAAATCATCATTAAAGCGAGCTGCTTAAGCTGCTCCCCGGCTTCTAGACAAGAGTGACTTGGGACAGTTCGCTTTGATATTGCTGCAGCTGGCCGCTGACACGCAAGCTATTTCGGAGTTCGGGCCAGAGCCCCCCATCCTAATGCGTTTCGCGAAGTAAGAAGGTTGGGGGGATGGGGGTCGGGGGCGCGAGCGACTGCAAAGGTGGGTCTCTTTCACCCATTTCCAGAGCAGAGTCACCGCAAACGCGGTGGGAAACCGGTTAGATCCGCCGAGACACGCCCTGGACCTCCAGGGAGGGCTCGCCCCAAACTTTTTCCTACAACTTTCAAGCGACCCTCAGTTTCCCTCCTTCCCGCGCGACGCGCCCACACTGGGCTCCGCGCCCTCCCTGGAGTTCGAACCCGCCGTGTTAGTCCCCGTTTGGAACTTTCACTTTTGGTTCGTGCGTTTGCGGTGATCCCCCTCGGGTGGGCACTGTGCCCGCCCCGCTCGCCGCCCTCACCTCGAGGGGAGGGAGAGCAACCGGGGCTGGGCCTCTGTCCGCGGCCGCCGGGCGCCACCCGCGCGGGACCCTCCGGAGGGGGCGGGGCGGGGGAGGAACCGGCCGCGGCGGTGCTCAGATCCGCGCTCGGAGAGGACGCGGCGGCCCGCGTTCTGCTCCCACCGCGAGCGCTTCCGTTCGGATCCGGAGTGGAGGTGTCTGCGCCGTGCAAGACGCAGCAGCACAGTGGCGTCAGGATAAAAAAAAAAAAAAAAAAGGGCGCGCGATGCGGGAGGCGCAAATATGGAAATTAACTCATTAGGAAGGGGTGTGGCCACCGCGAACCCCCTCCTCCGTCCCGTCCTTTCCCCCTCGCCGCCACCGTCCCGGCTGGCGAGATGCGAGATTACAAACAAACAAGCAGAGCAGGAGCTGACGCCGCAGTCCCGGATCAAACACGCTCCGGATCATTCGCTCCGCTCAGCGCAGCCGCCAGACCTGAGGCTCCGCGCCGGCTCCGGCGTCCGCGGCTCTGAAACGCTGGGCGCGCGGCGGCCTTTCGAAGGCACAGCACGTGGCCCTGACGCCCCGTTTGTATACGTTTTCAAACATCAGACAAACGCTTCCACCAAGACCGGAGCCGTCTGAGGGCGGCCGCTGAGCCCAGGGGTCCTCCCCTAGATGCTGTTTGGAGAGGAGGAGGGGGTGGGGGTCTTTTGGGGAGAAAGACAAGAAGCCAACAAAACCAACTAGAAAGTGACGTCCCAGAGCTCCTGGCCCAGGGGCTTTTCCTGGGGCGCCGCTAGAGCCTGGAGGGGGTCGGAGCTTTCCAGCCCCGGGTTGTGATATTATTAACCAGAGACCAGGTTACCAAGATTGAGGGCGAGGAGGTTGGAGAACCTAGTGTGCAAAATTATATGCCGAAATAAAATGTTTCAGTGGGAGCAGGGGGGTAAAAGAACACGCAAAGCCTCTCAACCCCCCCAATCCCCCAGACCCCCCCCCAGCTGCCCTGCCCCTGTGTCCTCAAAGCCTGCCTCTGTGCAGGACTGAGGGAAAAATGGCACTTTTATGGTTTTCCTTCCTGCGTGGCTCGCCTCCCCGTCCCTGCTCCCTGCCTGGCGCTCCCCCAGCTGCGGGCCCCTTGGAGGAAGGCTGCCCAGTCCCCTCGTCTCCCGCTGCCTGCAGGCCACAGAGCCTCAAAGCACGCATTGTCCAGCGGGGCGGGGAGGCCACAGACCCATGGAGAAGAATAACACTGCGCCCAACTCCTGTTAGGGAAAGTTTCCCAAATGCACTCCTTGTGGTGGGAGGGGGCGGGGGGATACATTTTGAAAATCCTCTGTCTTCTCCAATTCTTCGCCCTCTCCCGACACTTTTTAGGTCCTTAGAAAGAGACAGAGAGTGGACCCAGAAGAAGCTGGAAGGTGGCATGGGCCGAAAATGTGAACATGACTCTAGTGAAACAGCCAATGTGATGGTTTTTAAACGCAGGTGGGAAGAGAGAAGGGGGATGTCTTTTCCCAGTTCTAGTTGGGGGACAGCTGCATGGCCAGTGCGCTGGGGGCTTCGGGAAGACTGGCCCACGAGGGCGCGTGTGCAGGCAACGCATTTTGCACCTCCTGTTTATCTTAGAAACTGGGCGGAGGGGGGTGGGTGGGGAGCGATTGTTCGGCCTCCCGACAGGCAGAAGTTGAATAAAATGGAGAGGCGGGCACACGCAAAAACAAAAACTGCTGCAGGCTCGGAGCCTTTCTCCTTGACCCGAATTCCAAATGCTGGGGGCTCTTCATTTGCAAAGGACTCGGATGTCTGAAGACCCCAGAGACAGCGGTCCTCCAGTGACGGCAAAAGCCGCGATAGAGACCGTTAGAACTGAGGCTTTGGGGGCAAATGTAATTAATCTTTCATTGGAGCAGCGGGGACCCATTCCTTCCAAGCGTTGTGTCTACATTGTAGTTCTCTGAGTTTCGTGTGCTCTTCCAGGCGTTTGCAAAAGAATGGCAAAACTCTGCCGGAAACAAGTATATTCCCAGACAGTGCGATAGTGAATCTGTTTTTAAAATCAAATCAAAACAAAGTAAGACAAAAGAAAGAAAGAAAGAAAGCCTCAGGCCTGTGGTCTTAGTGTCCAACCACCAAAATGAGGGAGGGGCGAGTAAGAGGTTGTGGCTATTTGGAGTCGCGCTAATTTGGTGTGTGGACTTAATGCCTTAACGCTAAATCGGCAATATAAAGGGCTAAAGAGCAAGCCCGATAAAAGCTCTAATTACTACTGGAAACTTTAGGTGGTTGCTAGGATCTGAGGACCACCACTACCACACACACAAAAAAACAACCCTCCAATAGAGTGTTTGGACTGCGTATATGGGGGTGGGGGTAGAACTTGTAGAGGCGAATAGTACCCACATCTGCTGGAACTTCCATATCTAAGCTGTTCATTTACGGGAGCCAACTTATGAAATCTCCACAATTAGATCTTCATTGTTCTTCCTCCACAACACTGTCTAGAAAGAAAAGGTCTTCTCGGTCGGGGCCAATCCAACGAAGCGTTTGACGTTATTAAATAATAAAGCGATTGTGATTTACATTGTTGTTCAGAAAAAAAGGCCAATTATCCACTGTTATGTTGCCATAAAGATCATATTAACTCGAATTAGTAATCAAACAATATGCGAGCGTTTAAAAAAGTACAGCCGAACTGGGTGACAGCTACGTCTTCACTTTCACCCGCATCCCAGCGCCGGCAGCGGGAGCGAAAGAGGCAGACGCCGCAGACCCGAAAGGAGGGAAAGAGCCGCAAAGTGGTGATTAACGGTCTCCAGTGTTAATTATTCTCAATTAATCCCAAACAGTACAAAGCCTCCCTGGTTCCCTGCGAGTTCCCTGGTTCCGATGCTCTGAGAATTGTGCCTGTCTGGGAGGGGTTTCTAAGAACTCCGGAGGAGGCCATTTCCACGCAGGTGTATCTGTGAGCACAGGGGCTAGGGGTGCAGGTGTGTGCGCAAGGGTCGTGGGTGGGGTGTGAGTGTGAGGCTCACTACCTTTCCCGGAGCCTGGCGGGCACCCCGAGGTGGGCAAGGCCCGCAGCATCTTCAGGACCCTGGCGCATCTTGCGTCTTCTCTACTCAAATCACCCTCTCTCGTCCTCTGTTATTATTAGGTTTATAACTCGTTGCCCACTTAAATTTGTGCAGCCAACCAAGGAAATCTAAATAGGTTGGAGTCGCCCCATGGGTACAGAATGGAGGCTTTAATAAGAAAGATTAATTGTGGGTGTGTACCGGCCGGAAGACGCGTTAGCTATCAAGTGGCGGCTGGCTGTGGGTGGAGGGGCGGGAGACGCCTCTTCTAGGCCTAGTCTTTAGTAGGCGCCGTGGGCATACGCTAACGCGGGCCACCCGGCGACTCGTGGTAGTCACGGGCTTGCGAAGGGCTCCGCAGCACTCTGACCATCTTTTCCTGTGCTAGTTGAGGGTTTAAGGAACTTGTCCCTTACTTACCCTGCACATCACATCTTCCAGCCCTGCGCCCCGCGCCGCCAGGCCCCGCTTTCCTGGTGCCATGCCGGAGGGAGGGGTGTCGTGGCCGCAGTCCTAGGAGGCCTGTATATCCCCGCCCCACCTACTGAACATTATTTAGGCAAATGGTTGAAACGTTTTGCTCCTGGAGCTAGAATGTTGATATTTTGTTTGTTGAGTGACGAAGCATGGGTATGTGCATGTGTTTTTTAAATACACGCACGTAAGGAAGTAGGGAGGAATTTTACTGGGTGAGTGCTTCAGCAAGCCAAGGCACAGGGGAGAGAGTCAGCCAGCGACAGGGCGGCGGGGTCTCTCCAGGCGCGGGGGGCACTGAGGGAGCTGTCCCCACCTGCGTGGCCTTTCCCTCGCTCCTCCCTCTTTCAGCTAAAACCTTCAGAGCCGGGACTAAGAAGTGGCGAAGTGGGTGGTGGCAGACAGGAGCAGGGACTGTGTCGGGGCTGAAGGAACTGACTAGAAGAGTTTGTCTAGCAGTGTGCCCTCCTTGAGTAATTCCATCTAAAACGTGAGGCCCCAGGGCCTGGGCTTCAGCAAATGGAAAAGGAACTCTTGGAAGGTCCAATCCTTGCAAGCAGAGGGACAGCCAAAAGGTGGTCGCATCTTTGTTCAGAGTTTTAAAACAGTTGCTGCCTTTCCTTCCTAACCCTCTTCTTCCCAGTAAAACCAATTCAAAAGGGAGCAGAACTCCACTCCACAAGATTAATGTTCGTTCATTTGTAGGATTAACTCTCTTTGCGAAGCATAATAAAATACTAGAGGTGCTCTTACATTTAAATAAATACATAAAATTTACCCATTCTCTCCTTTCCTGTTTGATCTCTCTCGGGACACAGAAAACTGTGTCTTGGAACCTGAGAAGTCTTAGATGAACTTTTAACTCAGAGTTTTCAGATCATCTGGCGTTGCTGTGGGCATTGGCATTGGGAGAGAATGCAGGGGCCAGCTTACTTTTAATATCTATAGCTATACATTCTGGTCTGGAACTCACGATTAAAAATCTATTTGTTCCTCCCAGGGCTCCGCAGATTTCAATGTTGGTCATAGGAGCCACAAAATGTTCATTAAAGGAGCCTAACCAAGGCTACTGTATAGCCACTTTGTGAACTCAGAACTAAGGATGGGGGGAAAAGTATGAAAGTGTGAGTTGATGTCACGCTGGCTGTCAGTGTGTGGTCTATTGTGGAGAATGGTGCTTTTTGACTGAACAGAGGGAGCCCCCCTCCCCCCTTCCCCAGCTCTACTGCACCTGCACTGGATGAGGGAGTCCCTGCCATTCAGCCCATCGCAGACTGTTCAAACAGAAGACATCTCTGACAGCACTCAATTCATTACATTTCTTCCTGCTTTTCAAACCAACACACACACACACACACACACACACACACACACAAAATGAGTATTGCCAGCCAGTGACAGCCAAAAAAAAAAAAATCTTAAAATACTTTATATGCAGCTAATTTGGAAGCTCATACAACTAAACATGAAATATTTTGTATCCTTAACTCGAAAGGCTTCCTTGGAGGGGGAGGGGAGGGAATTACCTGATTTTTCCAATTGAGAATATATCTCCATAGTTTACATGGGGATAGTAAGTTTGTCGAAAGACAGTGTTAGCATGGGGCAGAAAGACG